GCTGAACTCAAAAACCGTTCACTATTTCTTCACCAAACTTGGCACATGGATTGGTCTGGTGGTGTACTGGTGCCTTTTGGTAGTTTTGGTATTTCTGAATAAAATATTTTGGCGTTTCCATGGCAACAAGTTAGACTTAGACTGAAATTGGTGGTTGTGCTCTATTCCGTAGCTGAACTCTAAAACCGTTCACTATTTCTTCACCAAACTTGGCACATAGATTGGTCTAGTGGTGTACTGGTGCCTTTTGGTAGTTTTGGTATTCTGAATTAAATATTTTGGGCGTTTCCATGGCAACAAGTTTGACTTAGACTGAAATTGGTGGTAGTGTTCTTTTCCGGAGCTGAACTCTAAAACCGTTCACTATTTCTTCACCAAACTTGGCACATGGATTGGTCTAGTGGTGTACTGGTGCCTTTTGGTAGTTTTGGATTTCTGAATAAAATATTTTTGGCGTTTCCATGGCAACAAGTTTGACTTAGACTGAAATTGGTGGTTGTGCTCTTTCCGTAGCTGAACTCTAAAACCGTTCACTATTTCTTCACCAAACTTGGCACATAGATTGGTCTAGTGGTTGTACTGGTGCCTTTTGGTAGTTTTGGATTTTCTGAATAAAATATGTTTGGCGTTTCCATGGCAACAAGTTTGACTTAGACTGAAATTGGTGGTAGTGCTCTTTTCCGTAGCTGAACTCTAAAACCGTTCACTATTTCTTCACCAAACTTGGCACATAGATTGGTCTAGTGGTGTACTGGTGCCTTTTGGTAGTTTTGGAATTCTGAATAAAATATTTTGGCGTTTCCATGGCAACAAGTTTGACTTAGACTGAAATTGGTGGTTGTGCTCTTTTCCGTAGCTGAACTCTAAAACCGTTCACTATTTCTTCACCAAACTTGGCACATAGATTGGTCTGGTGGTGTACTGGTGCCTTTTGGTAGTTTTGGTATTCTGAATTAAATATTTTTGGCGTTTCCATGGCAACAAGTTTGACTTAGACTGAAATTGGTGGTAGTGCTCTTTTCCGTAGCTGAACTCTAAAACCGTTCACTATTTCTTCACCAAACTTGGCACATAGATTGGTCTAGTGGTGTACTGGTGCCTTTTGGTAGTTTTGGAATTCTGAATAAAATATTTTGGCGTTTCCATGGCAACAAGTTTGACTTAGACTGAAATTGGTGGTTGTGCTCTTTTCCGTAGCTGAACTCTAAAACCGTTCACTATTTCTTCACCAAACTTGGCACATAGATTGGTCTGGTGGTGTACTGGTGCCTTTTGGTAGTTTTGGTATTCTGAATTAAATATTTTTGGCGTTTCCATGGCAACAAGTTTGACTTAGACTGAAATTGGTGGTTGTGCTCTTTTCCGTAGCTGAACTCTAAAACCGTTCACTATTTCTTCACCAAACTTGGCACATAGATTGGTCTGGTGGTGTACTGGTGCCTTTTGGTAGTTTTGGATTTCTGAATAAAATATTTTTGGCGTTTCCATGGCAACAAGTTTGACTTAGACTGAAATTGGTGGTTGTGCTCTTTTCCGGAGCTGAACTCTAAAACCGTTCACTATTTCTTCACCAAACTTGGCACATGGATTGGTCTAGTGGTGTACTGGTGCCTTTTGGTAGTTTTGGAATTCTGAATAAAATATTTTGGCGTTTCCATGGGAACAAGTTTGACTAAGACTGAAATTGGTGGTTGTGCTCTTTTCCGGAGCTGAACTCTAAAACCGTTCACTATTTCTTCACCAAACTTGGCACATAGATTGGTCTAGTGGTGTACTGGTGCCTTTTGGTAGTTTTGGTTTTCTGAATTAAATATTTTTGGCGTTTCCATGGCAACAAGTTTGACTTAGACTGAAATTGGTGGTAGTGCTCTTTTCCGGAGCTGAACTCTAAAACCGTTCACTATTTCTTCACCAAACTTGGCACATAGATTGGTCTGGTGGTGTACTGGTGCCTTTGGTAGTTTTTTAAATTCTGAATAAAATATTTTGGCATTTCCATGGCAGCAAGTTTGAGTTAGATTGAAATGGGTGGTTGTGCTCTTTTCCGTAGCAGAACCCTAAAACCGTTCACTATTTCTTCACCAAACTTGGCATATAGATTGGTTCGGTGGTGTACTGGTGCCTTTTGGTAGTTTTGGATTTCTGAATAAAATATGTTTGCATTTCCATGGCAACAAGTTTGACTTAGACTGAAACTTGTGGTAGTGCTTCTTTCTGGAGCAGAACTTTTAAAACCTTTCAATACTGTCCTTCCACTTTTCTATATACACACCAAAACATTTGACATAATCATAACTCGTAGACATATTCATGAAGTGTATTTTGCCATTGCGGGGGATATTGATGACTTTGTCTTCTTGTCTAGAAAAATGTGATTTCTCTAACAAAGATATCAGGCCCAAACAAAACTGGGATATCAATATAAGTGGCATAAAAACCTTTCCCACTCACGTATTCATTTTTATTATGCATCGTTTATCCACTTGGTAAATTATCGTTAGCGATGAGACGCATCCTCGTGCTTTAAGTATAATAGGTCAGGGCATAAGTGTACTTTATTACACTATACTTGGAAGTAGAGCGAACTGTATTTCTTTTCTAAGGTGCTAAATTTATTACTTAGGGACCGTTCATAATTTATGGCTAAGGGGGTGGGGGTGATGATGATTTTTATGGAGAAGCATGGTCCATGTGGATGACCCCCATTACAATTTATGTACAAAATAAGTGACGACACCCCCACCCCACCCCTTGCATGTCATCTACAAAATCAATGGCCCACCTCCCCTTCCCATAATTTCTGGGCATAATTTTATACATATTTTTATGCACAAAATTGCTGACCCCCCTAGTATGTGTGTACAAAATTGCTGAATTATACATTTAAGAGCTTTCTGTTATGCTGTGTGATTGTAATGATGGTCCAACAGTATCTTCGACATATTTGGTATCGTTGATACTATGTAAAGTATGGAGCTCTTACTGTTAAACAAACATTATGCCGATTTAAATACATAGTACCAACTTTTCTTTTCCCTTTCATGCATACAGTGCCAACTAAACGTATATTTGATCTTCAAATGATATAGCTGAATTATTAAAACATACTTTTGGTAAATTACCTATATTTTCCAAAATTTACCTCATATTTTTCTCATCAAATGCACTTTCTATTAAAATTAATCTTACAAAAATATTTTTGCGATGAGCATATACATAACATTATTGTCCACAATTTTAAATCATGATCTGAGCATTCCAAAACTACTATTTTGATGAAAATCGGTCTATCTAAACCACAGTTATTAAATTAAACCATCCAGTTATCGGTTGAAATAATTTCTCTCACGACGTTTCGAATACTGAAATGACATGTTGCACCTTCTAAAAGGGTTATCCCCTGCACGGTAGTCACTCATGGGAGCTGATGACAAGCGTCTTTTAATCAAAGCTAAATCATTCCTAAATGTGACAAATCGCATCCCATTCGGTCGCCAGAACTGCACTACATTTTCACCAGTCTATGAAATAAGCCAAAAACACAGCCAGACATCCGGGCTGGTAACTTCAAAATGTTACCAGCCCAAAATGGATTTAACAAGACCAGACAATTCAAAGAAAGTACTATAGTTACAAAGAAAAATTCAATTAACCTAAGACATGTATTTACTCCGCCCATCGATAGGTGTCTCTGTTTGAGTATGTCAACGCAGTGCTTTGAGCTTGCGATACGATTATAGATAGTTCATTGTTCAAACAGTAATTGTCCAGTCTAAATGTAACGCTCAGTTTGAAAAATAGATTTTAAGACATGGTGAATTTACTCAGATTTATGGAAAATGTTATGTAATCTTTTTACCAGACCATCGGGCTGGCCAGCTGTATATCTAGACGTCCGACAGAAATCTAGCCCGTCTCGGGCGGACGGGCCTTATTTCATACTCTGTTTTCACCCTTTTGGGGGGTCTGGCTTCTAGACCTAACTGGGATACGATGACATTTCAGCGAGCCTGATCACCGGATCCCGTTAGTCGCCTCGTACAAGCATGGGTTGCTGAAGACCAATTCTAACCCGAATCTTCATGGGTCTGTTGTGTGGAAGATATGTATTTTGAAACATAACAAGCGTAAGTCTGGTATTGAAGGAGCGGGGTGTGTTTTACGCCTTAAACAGTATTTCATTTGAATCAAGGCATGACATCTAAATGTCGTAGCCCGGTCCAAATAAGGTCGTGGACGAGTTGAATTTGGTGACACTCATGAGGCTGTCCGAAATTCTTCTGTTACCCTTCTCCACCGGGCCCTGAATTTTCATTCCAACGTAAACAAATACAACGTTTTCTTCTCTCAGTGTAAAAATAATTATATACTCTGATGTGATAAAACAAATATTCTTACGATTGCACTCATAAAAAGTAACAGGTCAGCATGATCTTTCTTTACCTACATGTATTTTTTAAAATTTCGAACGAAAACGATTCGATGTACATCATGCTTTTTCAAGACTCGCCAAGTGATCTAAATATAAATTTTTCAACCATTGAATCAAACTTTTTTACTGATTTTTCTATTCCGCCCGCCCACTCTCTTTCTGGGTGAGGATGGAGATAAGTACCACAGAAAAACTACTGATAGCCTTAGCCCAGGTGAGTTGCTGGCGCACCAGGGTCAGTGTCATCGATGCAATAAACCAGTCCAATGAACTTAGTAGAACGATCCTATAAATACAGCATTACGTTATTGCCATAATGTCTATGACGCTAGTATGCAAATAAAGATTTTCAGGACGTTAATACCTGTTTATATGGACCTATATTGACAGAGGAATTAGCAAGTTGTATTCTTCATTATGTACTAATCCTCATTGTTTATCATCAGCAGCATCGCATTGCATATGTATTGTTAGCAACACTATCAAGTCTCATTAATTACTGTTATTCATATAATGACATATATGTCCATAATCGATTATCCCCTGGTCTGCATCGGTAATAACGCACATCAGTCCCGTGTCCCGGGCAACATGGTCGACTCTTCGTGTGTCCATCGCTGTCCATTTCTATATACAAGTATGTGTCTGCATTTGTACCGGGATTTCCTATCAATTAAAGCCCATGCGAAATTAAGTCCAAGGGCCCAAAATTGGGCCTAATATTTGAAAGGTGTTGTTCGTGTAAGACTTTTGATCTTGTAAGATATAATAAAAGTTTCTTGTGGCCTTAAAACCAGAAAACATTTTGAGTTCTTGAAAACTTATCCTTTTATGGTTACAGTTCTGTGTTCGTTTAAATGAATTAAACATTAAAGGTCAGTAAATAATTATTGTTTGCATGTGTTTTCCATTCAATATGTGCAATTCCAGAATTTAAGACCTGGACTTAAGTATGGTTTTATAATTTGAATACCAAAGGGGTTATTTTTCATTATTAAAGGGGGCTTAAATACGAGAGTTCCCGGTTCTGTCAGTCAGCTTGGTATTCCGGCTGATGGTGTACGATGGACCGCGAGCAGGATGTGCTCATCAGCTCTACCCACGTCATATCCGCTCATCTTTGTTTGTGTTGCCTGTTCGGATATTCTGCTGGTTGTGTATTTGTTTTATGTTTACATGTTGAGTATTAAACGTTCGGGAACAGTGATGTCGATGTTGTCTTTGTTTCTCACAAGAGCTGGTTGGCCTGTAATCTATGAGCCGTCCACATGCAAAAAATACAAGAATGAATATTAAAAAGAGTACATCGGGATACCTTCTGCTGATACAATGAACATCGAACACCTGACACTTTTCTGAGAATAGCAACAACTGATTTCACTAAAGGAATCCCTGGAAAGACGCTTTCTACCATTTAAGGAACCCTATGAGCGACAGTATTTTGCAGTATTACGGCTGGGGATACCAAAATGGGAATTGAACATTGTATCCATGTGGAGAATCGAATCCGGGTCTTCGGGGTGAGCTTTATCCCTAGCCCACCACACCGACCAACACTAGGATGACGTCACTACAGCTTAAGAGAATTATGTTTAATCCAGATTTACATTCGATCATCAAAACCAATACTAGATGTGAAGGTTCAAGAATATCATTCGGTTGATGGAAAGCGATAAATTTAAAATTATACATTCACCAAGATTTCCGTATAAAGTTAACGTTTATCGCCTATTTTATAGTTTAGTATTCCAGCATAAGCGGCGGGCTGTAAGTAAGTCTGGATCAGGCAATACAGTGATTGACATCCGGATCGATCTTCGCAAATGGAGTGAGTGAGTTTACTTTTACGTCGCCTTAGCAATAGTCCAGCAATATCACCGCGGGGGGACACCAGAATGGGCTTCACACATTGTACTCATTGGGGGAATCGAACCCGGGTCTTCACCGTGACCAGCGAACGTGTTAACCCCTCGGCTACCCCACCGCCCTCGCAACTGGAATACGATTAAATGTATCAACCAAGTCAGTTGACCATACCACCCCGATCACTGCTTAAGTCAAGCATTGGTTGCTGAAGACCAGTTCTAATCCGAATCTTTACGGTTTGGTTGTTATCATAAACAATATTATGCGTATAACTCACAGCAGGATATGACGGCGATAATGACAGAGGGTGTTGCTATGTAATCCAGAGCGTCTTGTAGCCAATCAGGGAGGTTTCCCACACGTGAGGCAATGACGTCAATAACATCCCGCGCCAGCTGAAACGGACCACAGTCATTTGAAGTCTGAAAGTGAGTGAGGTTATTGGGTTTAACGCCGCCTTGAACAGTTTTCAAATAATATCACGGTGTGTGTGCTTTGTGTGGGACGGAAGCCCGAAGTTGGCAGGTCTAAGACATTCACCGCTTTGAGGACCCAAGAGGTCGAGCAACATGCTTGAGGCGAAATGGATTTTGAAGCGCATACAAAAATCCCACTACACCTTATATATTTTTCCGTATAAAAAATCATAGAATTCAAACGTTGTGTTCTTGCGTATCTGTCTGTCTGTCTGTGTAAATTGATGCACACGTACAACATGCGTGCTTGCCAAATTGGCAATAACTTCGGATCCGAGTTACAGTGGTCTTGAGTTCAGGGTGTATGTCTTTCCATGAGCCCCAGATCACGTTAATCTCGGATTTCAGTCGGTATCCGAATTTCCGAAATATTGAGCTAGGGTTCCGAGCAACGATAGCTGGGATCCGAAGTTAAAGATTTTTGACATCCTGAAAGCAGTGGATCCGATCGATGTTGAATCCCGCGCCCGTCTGGCCGATGGATCCGATCTTAAAGGCAGTTTGTTGCCCATTTCCCAGTTTATAAGGTTGAGAACGTGTGATTTTATGAAGAAAAAAAACTACACGACCTGGTGTGATGATGAAAAACTGCTATGACGTCATTCATTTGAAAAATATATATATTTATCATATATTTCTCTGGTGATAAGGTTGCCACTCCCAACATGTAACTAATGTAAAGATGCTGATGTTACCTTGAAAAATATTACTTCATTCATACCTGGGGTTCGTCGAACCACTGAGTGAAAAATTCATACGTAGAGTCGATCCACCTCAAAATCTACCATCATATATATATATATCTGCTTGAGCTTACAACCATTTCGGCCAAGCGGTGGTTGCAGATTTAGCAGTAAATATTATGTCATGCTGGAAACTTTTCAAATTATTATGGATAAGGTGTGTATTTTTCTACTTCAGTAAGTTGTGCGTGCATCTGTATTATTCAATGGCCCCCGCCGTTTCTGAACCGAATTTAGGGTCGATCCAATCGATTTCTGAACACCGGAAAAGCCACAATGTATTTTTTGGCAGATTTGTTGTTTTGTTTTCGTCTTCATTTGAAAAAGATGGGGTTTTTTGTTTATATTTTCATGTAGAACATGTGGAATTGTGAACATCCAGCATAAATCTTCCCCGGTCATCTCAGGCGAAATTCACCGTTCGGATCCCATCAGGTGCACCAATATAACCAGCAATCATGGGTTCGAATCTCGGTTCGCCTTGAATGTGATTCGATGTTTGAATGTGTTCCGAGTCGGTGAGGCTTTTTGGCTGATAATCCTAGAGCACACAAGTAATTTACATGGTCCCTAATGTGGTAGTTCCCTAAATGTAGTCTATGACGACGTCCCCACGGACACTCAAGAACACTAAATGGCAAGTAACTAAACGTTCTCTATGACGGCGTATCCCAGGGGGAAAGAGAGCGAAGAAGTGGAATTAACATGAGTGAGCGAGTGAGTTTAGTTTTACGCCGCACTCAGCAATATTCCAGCTACATGGCGGCGGTCTGTGAATAATCGAGTCTGGACCAACAGACAATCCAGTGATCAACAGCATGAGCATCGATCTACGCAATTGGGATACGATGACATTTGTCAAACAAATCAGCGAGCCTGACCACCTGATCCCCGTTGGAGCGAAACAAGATTGTCCTTTACTGCATGAAGACCAATTAATTCTAACCCGGATCTTCACGGGTTAGAAACCCTTTCTCGGCGCCACGTGGGAGCAATGACATCCTGGAAACAGAAGAGGATATCAAGTTTGACCACGCCCACCAGTGCCAGGAATGGACAGAAGTAGGGACAGGCCAGAGCGTGACCACCAGAAACTAGTCCATCTCGCAGTACTGTGAACAAAGAGCCAACACACGTGTGGGTGAGACGTGCTGTGCAGAATGTGGATAAAAGGGTGTCCTCGTGAATGAGTGGGTTTAGTCTCAGGCCGCTTTCAGCATTATTCCAGCAATATCACAGCAGTAAACACCAAAAATGGGATTCACGCATTGTACATATGTGGGGAATCGAACCCGGGTCTTTTGCGTGACAAGCGAACGCTTTACCCACTAGGCTATCCCACTGCTCTGTACTGATATGTCGTTGATATCGTGTCCTTGAACTGAGGAGAAATGAGGTTAAAAATGTGTCATCACTGGCATAGTAGTGTACTCACAAGTGGAAGAAATTGTTTTAACTTAAAGAATTCAATTTATTTAGACGGTGTCCTAGGGTTGCATAGACCTGTGTCAGTTCCCATGTTGTACGCATGTGGTTGGACGGATGTCCAAAATGCATAGTGATAAGTGTACGTGTGTAAGTGAGAGGATGTCCACATGTGGGATAGACGGTGTCCGGTGTTCAGCGGACATTTGATTAATAGGGTGTTCTAATAGGCAAAGTGTTGTGCACGTGTGTTGAGAAGATGTCCCAGCAAAGTACACACACGTGGTTGAGACGATGTCCTGGCATAGTACACGTATGTGGGCGAGACGATGTCTTAGCATAGTTCACATGAGGGTGAGACGATGTCCTAGCATAGTACACATATGTGAGCGAGACGATGTCCTGGCATAGTACACATATGTGAGCGAGACGATGTCCTAGCATAGTACACATATGTGAGCGAGACGATGTCCTAGCATAGTTCACATATGTGGGCGAGACGATGTAGTTCTATGTGGGCGAGACGATGTCTTAGCATAGTTCACATATGTGGGCGAGACGATGTCTTAGCATAGTTCACATATGTTGGCGAGACGATGTCCTAGCATAGTTCACATATGAGGGTGAGACGATGTCTTAGCATAGTTCACATATGTGGGCAAGACGATGTCTTAGCATAGTTCACATGAGGGTGAGACGATGTCCTAGCATAGTTCACATGAGGGTGAGACGATGTCCGAGCACAGTACACATATTCTACTGGAATAAAGTAACTGTGCATTATTTGATGTTACGCCATTTTTAATGCAAAAAGATTATAACATTATTTGTGGTGTTTTCCTAAATCACTGTTTAACTGTTGACAGGATGATATCAAAATTTGTATGATTTAACATGTGGCCAACAGAGTCTGACCAATCGTAAGTCGACTCTAACGAGCATGGGTTGATTCTGGTGTGGACAGAGCTGGCAAGTCAACCAATGGCAAACGAGTTAATGGAACAGGGCAACCAATGTCGACTGCAACAACGAATCTGTAAATAGAAAAGGCATATTACTGCACACATCCACAAAACAGTAATTCACGTTTCACCCGGGTTTTGAGCGAGTGAGTTGTTTTTTTCGCCGCTTTTAGCAATATTCTAGCTATATCACGGCGGGGACACCAGAAATGGGCTTCACACATTGCACCCATGTGGAGAATCGAACCCGGGCCTTCGGCTGGCTCCAGTATAGGGGTCAGGGTTTCAAGGTGAAGTACTGTTTTTTACAGCTCGGCATCGTGAACATTTCCCCAAATTGCAACAAAGGGCTGCTGTCTTAAAACTCACAACCTTGAGTGAGTGAGTTTAGTTTTGCGTCACTTTGAAACGTATTCCAGCAATATCACGGCAATATGGTGGGGGATACCAGAAATGGGATTCACACATTGTACCCATGTCGGGAATCGAACCCAGGTCTTTGGCGTGACGAGCGAAAGCTTTAACCACTAGGCCTCCTAAACGCCCCTGTGTAAGTCTTTAAGCGTCATCTATCTTCAATAATCTCGTACAATATGGTTATGTTCCATATCTGGTCCTTTCCGTGGATTTTAGTATGCATTTGATTAACGTGGGCAATTGACCGAACTTTAAACTTGTTTTATTACCTTAACCTGGGTTAACACATGGACAATTCAGCTGTTCAGCCAGGGAAACTTCAATCACCTGCGTAAGAAAAGAGTCAACGACGATTATTTGCAAGATTTTAAAAGGTAGGTGGGTTACAAAAAATAATAATTAAAGTACATCCTTTTGTGGATCGTTAACTATCAGTCAAAGAATAATGGAAAACCTCGAAATATACATTATGCGTCAATAAATAATTCTGCACCCAGGGGCAATAATATCCAGGGACCCTATCCACAATGCGTTTGTAGCTTTCCGTCATTCGTATACCAATGGTGTAGTATAGAGCCACGACATGTCGTAACGTTACGAACGCTTTGTGGATCGGAATATACACAATCAAATGCACAGATGTCATGCCAAACTTGTAAATTTCTTTTCATTTATTTCAGATTTGCCCTGCATTATTTAAGCAGTCTCACATTTAAAGGCCATTTTGTTATTGTATTATAAGCATTTCATAGTAACACTGAGACCAATGTTGAAGCACAACATTAAAACTGTTAGAAATAGCTTGCTATCAGGTTTTACATTTGCATTTTCAGACCTACTTTACTGAACAAATTTGTACCAATAGCCTTTCACTTTGCATCAAATCGTGATTTCACAGGATACAGGTACAAAAAATCAAAGGGCATGAATCATGCCTGCAAGTCCTTCTTTCATGCTCAGACCGGCTCCGTGGTGTAGTGGTTAGAGCGTCCGCCCGGAGTGCGGAAGGTCGCGGGTTCGATCCCCGACCGCGTCATACCAAGAGACGTTAATATATGGTACTTGTTGGTCCCTGCCTGGCGCTCGGCATTAATGGGTACAACAAGGACTGGTCGGCTCGGAGTCAGTATAATGTGTCCGAGTGGGGTATTCATGCTTCACTGCGGCATGGTATCTCAGTGGGCTAGCACTATCAAACCAGCTTAAGTCTGGGCTAGTACAAGCAGCCGCACATACACATACACACGCATGCACGTCGTCATATGAGCGAAATATTCTCAAGCACGACGTAAAACCCAATTTAACCTCACCTCTTTCATGCTCAGTACCTTAACGCACGGTTTTCCCATTGGATGCCAGGACTTCAATTGTCTGCATGTTGCACGTGGTCTTTCGCCCGCTCGCCGGCTACAACCGAGTTGTTTAAAGTTAAAGGTATACTGACGTGTCTTTTCTCTCTCTGGTACATATAGTCCGTCACACAGACCCTGAAACAAAATATATCCAAGAAAGCCAATTGTAGATTACCACGAAATGAAGATCTCTGGGCTTCTTTTCATTGCATTTTCTTACTGTAATTTAGGAACTGAATTTTCTTGTAATGAGCGAGTGAGTGAGTATGGTTTTACGCCGCTTTTAGCAATATTCCAGCAACAGCACGGCGGGGGACACCAGAAATGGGCTTCACATATTATACCCATTTGGGGAATCGAACCCGCGTCTTCAGCGTGACGAGTAACTACGTGTTATGGTTATGGTTATGTTATTGGTTTGGATGAAAACGTGAAACCTCGAGCCAATTCCTTCGCTTTAGGTTTTTCATCTTTAACCAAACCCTCAGAATCTGCCGTTAGTAAAGCATTGCCCACATAATAAATTAGAATCGTTTGAATAGTTAACAGACCAATGTCCTGTTGTGCTCCAGCGGGGATCGGGTGGTCAGGCTCGTTGACTTGGTTGACACATGTCATCGTATCCCAGTTGCCAAAATCGATGCTCATGCTGTTGATCCCTGGATTGTCTGGTCCAAACCCGATTATTTACAAACCGCCGCCTTGGAATATTGCTGAGAGCGGCGTAAAACTTAACTCGCTCACTCAACGCTGATAGCTGTATTGACTCATGTTTTGTTGCGGGATGGTCTCTGCTGTTTCCTTTTGCAATTGTAACGTAATGGACGATTCCCCTGTTTCAAGCCATCGTACGGAAAGGGACGAGTAGTTACGAACGGGCATCAGACTCGAAAAAGCTGGCTTCTGATTGGCCGAATGCGTTGCGCACAAGGCATCGGGCAGCACGGATCTCGTGACTGTAGCTGAGCGTCTGGGGCTTGTAGGGCACGGATTTTGACGAGCACATTTTACTCGAGGTTTCCCGAGGTTTGATTTCAGAAGAGTGAGTGAGCATGGTTTTACGGCGATTTTGGCAATCTCCCTGTATTATCACCGCCTTGTTTGTTTGTTGATTAATGCCGCACTCAGCAATATTCCAGCTATATGTGACGGTCTATAAATAATCGAGTCTGGAGCAGACAATCCAGTGATCAACAGTATGAGCACCGATCTACTTCATTCTGATACGATGTAGGGCTGGGACGGGTACTCGGGTATTCGAACCCGGGTCGGGTATAGCTGGAATCGAGTCCTATTTCTAGGAATCGAGTACCCGGAAAAGGAGAGAATTCTGTAATGTCAAGGGCAGATAATAACTTGTCTTTTTCATGATTGACGTAGCACTCATTTGCATCATTGGTATTGTCTGATTAATAGAGGTTATTATTAACGACTATAATATATCTGCGCATGAGCAGTGAGTAGTCAAGTTACAGTAACAGCAGGAGCGAAAAGTTCAATCTGTGTTTTAAGGAGGAATGTAAATAATGGTGTTACTCTCTATATTGTTTAAACAAACGCAAATTACATAGCTTAATTTCAGTTTCAGTGTCCTTTTGCTATCATTTCAAGTTTTCTTGAAAAATGTCTGTCAACTCGTGATTGAATATTCAGAAAGTTGACAGAAGCGCTTTATTCCTTACATTTCCGGCTACTCGATTCCGATTCGGGTAAGTACATGCGGGTACTCGATTCCATGTTTTCCTACCCGTCCCAGCCCTAATACGATGGCGTCAACCACCCGATCCCGATAGTCGCCTCCTACAAGCATGGGTTGCTGAAGACCAATTCTAACCCAAATGTGGCTGTATGGAGTGAGTGAGTGAGTGAGTTTAGCTTTACTCAGCTATATGCCATGCTATATGGCGGCGGTCTGCAAATTACAAATAATCGAGTCTGGCCCAGACAACCCAGTGATCAACAGCATGAGCATCGATCTACGCAGCTGGGATGTGATGACATGTGTCAACCAAGTGAGCAAACCTGACCATTTGATCCCGATAGCCGCCTCCTACGACAAGCATGGGTTGCTGAAGACCAATTCTAACCCAAAATGTGGCTGTATGGAGGAGTGAGTGAGTGAGTGAGTTTAGCTTTACTCAGCCATATTCCGTGCTATATGGCGGCGGTCTGAAAATTACAAATAATCGAGTCTGGCCCAGACAATCCAGTGATCAACAGCATGAGCATCGATCTACGCAGCTGGGATGCAATGACATGTGTCAACCAAGTGAGCGAACCTGACCATTTGATCCCGTTAGTCGCCTCTTACGACAGGCATGGGTTATTGAAGATCAATTCTAACCCGGATCTTCACGGGTCTCGGACCAGTACAAGCATCGACAGACGTACATGCATGTCACTAACTGTGCTTAAACACAGGTTCGTGATGTCCAAAAGACGTATTTACATGAAAAGACAGTACATGCTCGAAGGTGGTCAGTACAGGGAGATCTTGGTATGAAAATATTGTGGCACCGGAAGGAACTAATGGTATCAGAAAGGCACCAAAAGGAGTTCGATGTCCTGCGGGTGTGGAAAGGATGGTTGTAAATTTTAGGATATTGTGGCACCTGAAGGAAATAATGGTAACAAAAAGGCACCAAAAGGAGGTCAAGGTCCTTCGGGTGTGGACAGAAAGGTTGTAATATTGGGATATTGTGGCACCGGAAGGAAATAATGGTAACAAATAGGCACCAAAAGGAGGTCGAGGTCCTGCTGGTGTGGACAGAAAGGTTGTAATATTGGGATATTGTGGCACCTGAAGGAAATAATGGGCAAAAAAGGAGGTCAATGGTGTTTGCAAATTGGGATATTGGGCACCGGAAGGAAATAAAAAACAGGAGGAGGTCGAGGTCCCGCTGGTGTGGAAAGGATGGTTGTAATATTGGGATATTGTGGCACCTGAAGGAAATAATGGTAACAAAAATGCACTAAAAGGAAGTCAAGGTCCTGCGGGTGTGGAAAGAAAGGTTGTAATATTGGGATATTGTGGCACCGGAAGGAAATAATGGTAACAAAAAGGCACCAAAAGGAGGTCGAGGTCCTGCTGGTGTGGACAGAAAGGTTGTAATATTGGGATATTGTGGCACCGGAAGGAAATAATGGTTTCAAATAGGCACTAAAAGGAGGTCGAGGTCCTGCTGGTGTGGAAAGGATGGTTGTAATATTGGGATATTGTGGCACCTGAAGGAAAAAATGGTAACAAAAATGCACTAAAAGGAAGTCAAGGTCCTGCTGGTGTGGACAGAAAGGTTGTAATATTGGGATATTGTGGCACCGGAAGGAAATAATGGTAACAAAAAGGCACCAAAAGGAGGTCTAGGTACACAGTCGGCGTTATCTTACATTTATCAGTTTCCAGAGTAGCGGATACAGAACCGACTGCCGCGGACCTCCCGACTGATCCAGCACGTGGAACCATTATATACCTGTCCCGGCTCCCGAGTACCGCGCACTGGCATCAACATATCCATACCCACCACATTTCGCTGGTAAATAATTCACTTGGACGCAGCATTCGTTACAAAATCTGTGAAGACATAACAGCTGATTTCTGTAGATTTGTGTAACGGTGGAAAACAATGAACGGTGACTTACTGTGCAGTTATTCCGTGCTGTATGTTGAAACTGTTAATGGCATATTTAGGGGAGCAGAAATACATACAAACAGGTTAACAGTCACTCGCGGCGCCAGCGACGTGCATATGTATGCTGAGCGCTGACTAACAGAAGCAGCTTCTGAAGCCGGTATGTGGAGATTCGGTACAACTCGGGTGAACCCGGTTTCCCTTTTTCGGCAACCCTCGGGAGAGTTCGGTAACGCGGTCGGAGGCCCAGAGTTCCACCGTGACGGCAGCATTTTGTATATGTCTTTCAGTAAGTCACCGTGATCCTAAGTTGAGTCGGTCGGTCGGTTTAAAATAAAGAAAAAAACAATACTCCCGAACGTGGTCGGGTCGTCAGGATCGGTGTCCAGAAATTACGTGTAGTCGAACTCAAGTCAAGAATGATTGGACAAGTCAAACTTGCCGCAGCTCTGACATAAAGAATTGTTTGGGGCTCTTGCTGGGTTTAATTTTTGAGTGTGTAGATACACATTTTTAAATAGGTTAACATTATGTCTGGGTTAAATGCCAGTGTTTTGTGACAGAGGCGTTTGGAGAATAACATGAACATTTATTAGCATAGAAATGTATTTACCAACGATGAAGGGTCTGGAGAATGCTACCTTCTCAACGGCAGAAATATTGGTATCAATGTGGAACTTTGGAGATTCAAAAAGGGTGGGTTAGTGAGTTGCGTTTACGCTGCTTTCTGAGATTTGCTGTATCAAAGAGTGAGTATAGTTCTACGCCGCTTTCAGCAACATTCTAGAAATATCACAGCGGGGAACACCAGAAATGGGCTTCACATATTGTACCAATGTGGGGAATCGACGGGCGAAGGCTTTAACCTTAGGCTACCCCGCCGCCCCTACATAATATCAAGACTTGCAGTCTGTGAAGTTCGTTATGTCGCCCTGAATATCCAGTCAAGCTTGTTTTGGAAGCTTTAACCCCACGGATACCCAACCGCCCCTGTATATTCCAGCAATACCACAGCGGGGAACACCAGAAGTTGGCTTCACACATTGTACCCTTGTGAGGAATCGAACGCTTTAACCACAAGGCTACCCAACAGGCCCTCGTATCTTTGCGAGGATTAAAGATTATTAAAATATACATATAAATTTGAGATGACCCCCAACTCATAATACTTCACAGTACAATACATGACTGTCATTCATACAGTACATACAGTACATCATGACTGTCATTATTTTGTACTGTGAAGCATTTGAGTAGGGGGTTATCTCAAAAACAATATTTTTTAAATTTTAATCCTGGCTAAGACACGAGGGCCTGTGGGCTACCCCACCGCCCAAGATTGACTACCAACCTAACTTAGGAACATCCATAACACCTTACCTCTGACGACTAGGATATTCCCGACATGGATTAAACATGGTGTTCGTGGTCCTGGTATGCTGTTCCATAAAGTCAGCCGGAGTACTGTCTCAGCCTATTCTTGTCGTTCTGTGAATTAATTTAACATTCTGTCTCCTTCAGCAATGACAAACGTGACTGCGCCTGCGCCTGCTCGTGCATTTCGCACCTTCCAAGCTTGACCCACTTTCAGTTACCAACTGTGTCTCAAAACATGTTGTCTGTATCACAGTCCCTGAACCACATTGTTGCTCTTCCCTCCAGCTCTTTCTGCAATGTTAAAGCGAAATAGTTTCCAATGTTTGTTAGCCAGTAGGGCTAGCTATGCCTGGAAGTTACTAGCCCACAAAACAATTCACTAGTTCGAAATGTGAATGAATAAACTAAACAAACAATTACAAAAGGTAAAATACTATCAAAAACAAATAAGAAAACATGTCTGAATTCTTAAAAATTTTGTTTATACTTAAATAACTTCAATAAGTCATACAGGAATACCCCATACCAAATGAAAATTCACAGGCCAGTCGGGCCAATGACTGTGGCGATTTACTGGACTGACTGTTTCTTTACTAGTCACGAGCTAGCGGGCTAGCAGTTATTTCGCACACTGCTCCCATCTCATTGTAGCTCCTTTTCATTTTAACGACTTTTGGGACGCAATTATTTATTTCTATAAAGATTATATACTGGACAAAATAAGTTAGGGATATTGGTATTTTTATGATTGATAATCGGGTTCGATTCCCCACATGGGCACAAAGTTGAAGCCAATTTCTTGTGTTCCCCGCCGTTATATTGCTGGACTATTTCTAAATGTGGCGTAAAACTAAACTCACTCACTCATGTTTAGAGTGTCCAGTGGTTAAGTGCTCGCTGGCAACCCCGGGTTCGATTCCCATATTGTAGTTTGCAAGAAAAGGGAGGTCAAGAGTTGCCTTGGGTGAAAGACTATAAGCGTTTGGCTGATAAATTAATGTTCAGAGTGCTGATAGAGAACCCAGGGCTTCGGACCTCCCGCTTTACGCCGGAAATTCCAGGTATATATACCATCATCGGAAAACGAGAGCAGTTCGTAGGTGTGATGATATACATAGACTGCTTCATAATTCTATTGTTAAATCAAGCACCGATCTTCACGAACCGTTAATTTACATGTACACCTATTAAACCTGGGTGCATATTGTGATTTAATATCATATGTTTAAGACCAGCCCGATATGATTAAACTAACGATTAAAAAGAATGGTATTCTAAAAACGAAAATTCATCTGTAGTTTGGAGGCGTCAGTGTGGGGAAAGTGCGCCGACAGCGCATGATTGTAATACACCAGTGGGTTGAATCTCGGCCAGGGTTATTTTTAGCTCGCAGACACTGCCAGGAATTCCTGCCACGTGACCTTTGGTGCTTCCTTGTATATTCACACCATTAGTTGTGGCACGTGTCGAGATATGTGGTAGTTATGTCAATGAAAATATTAGTGTCTAGGGGAGACTTAAAATTGTTATAATCTGAGGCACAGGTAACCTCCGGTGCCCCCCTCAAAGACAAGGCGCGCCATTTCTGACTATGAAATAAAATTAAATCCATTTCCTCCTTGGCTGTGATATGTGCACTGACTTACCGTATAAGGGATATTACAGTCTAATATTGTATGATCACATCTTCTTAAAACTCGTCATTAGTTGTAAAATACCCGCAACTCTATATCTTATTTACGCCAGACAATACGCTGTCAAATTATTCGGAAAAGGCATATTCCGAGCTGTACATGTGTACGTGTTGAAGGTGTCTGGTATGCTCAGAGTCCGGATTGCACACGTTTTCGGAATAGGCAGAACCCCACTTTATAGAGTCTTTGATCAAGATATTCGAATTAGGCGCATAGAGTATCTGATCGAGGCTTTTCCGAATGTACACATTCCTTTCAGCATAGGGTACCGGATCAAAGTATTCGGAGTCCGGTGGAGAACCCCCCACTCCACCTCATCTCATCTTCAGTGACTCGTTTGACATCTCTTCAGAAAAAAATTACTTTAAATGACGCAGCCAAACCTGCATCATATACACAAAGTCTGTTTTGAGTCGTAGAACCCTCAAACTCTCGCCTATGTAGAGGGTGTTATCATCGACCCACAGAGGAGTCTAAACTTTCGATAATCTACAGTGTCTTCTATTCTCCCTGATTTAGCGAGACCCTGTTTGATTGGCGTTTTGGACGTTGATGCATAATTACCAATATCCATAGTTGTTGTTTGTTTACCCCCCCTTTTTATACATACACTCATGTTGTCTTACTTAATCCCTGTTACATGTATATAAGTCGGTTCTGTGCTGTATTACTTTACCCTTGCTTGAAAACGATATACGAATCTATGCTGAAACGTCGCATCGTATATAATAAAGAAGTTGTTATCCATGAAGGTAAAGTGAGGTGTGGAAGCCTTGCGGTTGAAGCTTTGCTTCCTCCAGCCGAAGATCAAAGTTCGATTTTGTGACGCAATGTGTGGATACCCTACATGTAGCTGTGATTGTGCTGTAAAACTCTACATCCATATTTCAGTCCATCTTCGATCATCTCCAGGGTATACGTTCCGATCAATCTCCATATGGTAACGTATGCCCTGGAGATTATCGAGGATGATTTCAGTCCTGCGTTATTGCTCAACGTGGTGTAAAACCCTCCACCCACTATTTTCGCAATATGACTAACGTTTACAATACCATGTAAACTGGGCGAGTGAATTTAGTTTTACGCCGCTTTTAGCAGTATTCCAGCAATATCACGACAGGGGGCACATAAAATGGACTTCATAGATTGTACTCATGTAGGGAATCAAATCCGGGTCATCGGCGTGACGAGTGAAAGTTTTATACCACTTGACTACCACATCGCCCCTCTTGCAAATTACATGAAAATGAAAATAGGAGGTCAAGAAACGCCCTGGGCGAGGGATCCTATAACACGTTGACTGATAAGTTTAATGAATTATAAGAACTGAGAATGAACCCAGGGCATCGGACCTCCCACTGTACACGGAGTTTTAAACACATTTATACCACCACCAGGATCTATAAACACCACCATACATCCTTCATTTGCATAGCAACAAGAACGAAAGAATCAGAGCCTTCTAGTAACAATTCTTATAAAATGGATTCAAATTTGGTTATAGTTTATTTCTAACCGTTAAGTGATTGTATTGACAATATTTGTATACAGTTCTTACTACGTGACTGAGTTGATATCGTATTTAGAGTCTCGGCTGAAGATGAAGATTCTGTGGAATTGTCTGCGAGGTTCCTGCGTGCTTGAACCTTTCTATCGCAGAGATATATTTAGCATCCTGTGGGGATTCCAGAGAAGCAGGGTAGCTGGCGTCACTAAAGTTTCACTTTTAAAAGTTTTTTAATGTTTCGATATTGTATTACTTGAATGCTCACATGTGACCTCAAATTCGAGATGCCATGAAATGGGGTTTGGCGTAAGCACTGTTAGACATGCACGCACGTGTATGTGGATGCTTGTACTGCTCCGTAGACTAACAACTAGTCTCTGAAATGAACATATTTTACAGGAAAAAACAGTTCATAATAAAAAAAAAATATAATGAAAAGGAGCCCCGAGACATTCTTCAAACTGTGGAAAACTAGACTTGCCACATAATCTAGGCTTGCATGGGCTTTCTC